TTTGAAGTGAACATTTAAAACATGTAAGAGCCAGTTTTCTACAGGGACAATTTTTAGAGCACTGACTCTCTTGCAAAATATTAATTTTAGTAGGTCAGGAGGCATCATCTTCTGTTGATTGCATAGGTGTCAGATTGCCTTTTTGATCTTTCTTCCAGCCATATTGTAAAATATCTAACTTGTTACCAATCCATTCGTGAATCTAAAAAATACATCTTATAAAATTCCCTATAATAGATATATCTTTACAGTTACCTGAAAGTATGTCCTGAGTAAATGGAGTTTTGCAGAGTTCTCAGTTGGAGGCAAATTAGCTAAACTAAAAGTAGTCTTAAGGGCTTCTCCTGATGTAATCCTATTGTATAGAGTGTATCTCAGATGGTTAATATGTTTAATATAACTTGGGCAGTGATATAGCTTTAAAAAGCTGAAACAAGTCGTCTTTGTTAGGATTTTTTTCTAAAAATACGTCGAGGTATTGACAAAGATCGTCATCTTTTTTCAGTACCGACAGGCACATTTTTTTTGTCTCAGTCAGGATTAAATTATCTTTTAAAGCTATATCACTGCCCAAGCTATATTAAACATATGAACCATCTGACAATCTCTTAAGACCACCTTTAATTTAGCTAATTTGCCTCCAACTGAGAACTCTGCAAAACTCCATTTACTCAGGACATAATTTCAGGTAACTGTAAAGGTATATATATATTATAGGAAATCTTATAAGTTGTATTTTTTAGATTTAAGAATGGATTGGTAACAAGTTAGATCCTTTACAATATGGATGGAAGAATGATCAAAGAGGAAATCTGACACCTATTCAATCAGAGATGTGGCGCCTCCTGACTACTAATAGTATATTATTTAGCGAGCATATAATGGTGGCTGTTATTCACGCGGATGATTTTATGACACGAGCCGCAGGCGAGTGTTATAAATCATCCAAGTGAATAACAGCCATTATATGCGAGTAGAATACTATACTTTATCCAGGACTCTCAAAAAAATGTAGATAATATTAATATAAGTTTTTATTTTTAATGTCAAAAAAATATTGATCGATTATAACGAGTAAGTAACATGGAAACAAAACATTGAAATTTTCTTTAACTAGGTAGCTAACTAATTTCCCTTTAACTAATTAAAATCAAACATAAATTATTTATTTACATTAATGGTAATGTTTGACAGTTTGACTCTTGTTTGGAGTTTGGATCGAGATATCCGTGGAAGCGGTGAATAATGAAAACATTGTTCACTAGTGAATAAGGAATATTATTATTATTTCATAAACTCATGTATAATAATCAAATTATAGACGAGTCGTGAATAAAATTATTTTATTGCAATTGCAAAGAGAGTCAGTATTCTAAAAATTGCTCTTGTAGAAAACTGGATTTTGCATGTTCTTCAAAGTGTGGTCAGTGTTACGGAATCAGTTGCACAAACTTTTGTATTTTAGTTGAGGCTAAAATGACGCTCAGGATGACGTCATAATAGATTTTATTTAATAACTTTAATTTAATAATAATTTTTTTAACAATAATTTTATTTAATAAGTAATATTTAAACGTTATTTTTAATTGTTTTGATGCTTAAATTTATACTTGGTTTATCTATTTTAACACTATACTGTTAACGCAAAAATTATAGCGGATTGGTTTAAAAAAACTGGAAAATTTATAAACCGTATAGGAAAATTTGCTCTATCTCTATTACTATTTATTTTAGAAAAAAATTATTAAAGGTAAAATATTCTAAATTTATTTCTCTACGAAAAACATATCTTTAGTTTTTTTCGAAAAAAGTTATGCAAACGGAGATATTTGAAAAAAACGAAAAAATCCAAGATGGCGGCCATTTTTTTCAAACTTCCCCAACTGGGACCGAATGGGACTTTTGAGGGGTTAAATGGGAGATCATTATCTACATATTGCCGTTGAGAGTGGTTGGTTACTAATTTTTTCCACCTTTGCATATAATACTCGGCTACGTTTACTGGCCTAGAAGTAACGTCAGACATATCAGAGCCACCTAAATCATAAAAATGAAAATATCTAGGAAAATTTTTGTTTGAGGGATAGACAACGTTAATAGTATTTTGATGAGACATGAATTCCCCAATGAATATCGAAATAATACACTGGGTGTTCCATTTAAAATAAAAGAGTAACTTGCTTTTAGAGGTTGGGTTAGGTTAAAGTCCCCAAGTCCCCTGTATAACTTTTTGAGTCAGATTTTAATTTGATTCGAAGTACAATAGTTATTTTAACTACATATTAAGCTATACCGGGTAAGTTACAATTTAGGTAGGTTTTATTGTAATTTAAAAATTGTTCTTTATTTTTAGAAAATGTTAGATATGTCAAAAACAATTTTCCATTTTAGTCATGTACTTCTCTAATAAAACTCACCTTTATTTTTCTCCCAGAATCCGAAAATCAATTAATATATATATATAAGGTGTTCCATTATAAAAAAACACAACTTTGATATGCAACTTTTTTTGGGGACACCCTGTAGAACTTTCTATATATTTAAAAAGTGCTCTGAATTAACCTACATATGCTAACAAAATTTAATTTTAATACAAACTGTCGTTCTCCCTGAGCCTCCGCGTCGTATGAGAGGCGCCACCCTGTACAGGGTGGTCGAAATTGGTCTGTTTTAACAGAGAAAACCTATTTCCTGACTAGATAGAGCAAAACCAACATATATGTCATGGGCTCGATTTCTGAGACACGTTTGATAGCATAAACCGCCTATTGATATTTTCACTGCCAAATGAGATACGGGGTCTTTTTGAATTTTTTACCATTTGTAAAATTGCCCGTAACTTTTTTATTTCGCGGAATAATAAAATTCTGTAAAAACGTTCTGCACTTTTTTAAGCACAATCCAGTGGCGTAGTCAGATTTTTTTATGCTTGCTCTTTTTGTCAGAAATAATAAAAAATATAATTTTTTATATGAAAATCATAGTTGGCTATGAACTTAAAAAAATGCTGGCGTTTAACCCTTTCCAACGATATAAAGTTATGGGTATCTATTTCTAAGAATGAGAGATATATTAGGGTTTTTTATCTTTGTATCAAAGTGGGCCTTGATTTTGTGTTGACCTAGTTGCCTAATTATTTTTTATTACAATTTAATATTCTATAGTATTATTTATCTCATATTTAAAGACTTTTGAAAAGGTAAATTAACATTCTATATTAGTTTGAGTAATTACAATTGAAATCGATACAACAGACAAAGAACAAAACTAAAAAGACATATTTTTTTGGGTAACGAATATAGTTTTCTAAAAAAAATCATCTAAGATGTTCAAACGGAGCACCTCCTTGTTGAATACACAATAAACATCTTTTGCGTACAGAGTTACAGCGATTTATTACAGCGAACTGGTGTAATAAGTCCAAAAGCTTGCCTAGTAGCCTTCTGCAATTCTTCTCTCGTCCCAATGGTTCTTCCCTTATATACAGGGTGAGTCTTAAATAAGTGCAAATCTTTTCAGGGTTGGTAGATCTCGATAGAAGTAACATAATTTCTCTTTAGCATTTTTTAAATAAATCCAAAATAACCGAGTTATTTTAGTTTTGAAAAAAAAAAATTTTTTTGCTTAAATTTTGGGAACCACTGGATCTTTTCTGGATTTTCTTTCTTGTAAATTTAATCTACTACCTATGTTGACATATCAAGAAATTATGTTTTTGAACTAAAAACTAAAAAAAAATCTTCACTGAAAAAAACTTCATATTAGTGTTTCTGGGGTCAAAATATGCTACCCCTAAAAATATTTGCACTTATTTAAGACTCGCCTTGTATAAGGTTTTTTTAATTTTCCCCATAAAAAGTCGAAAGAAGTTAAATCACAGGACCTAGCACGCTAAGATATGGGGCCCCTTGTTCCAATCCGATTCTCTCTAAATTCTCCATTTAATAGTACAGTTGTAACCTTGGCGTTTTAATTGTAATTGGTAATACTAATATAGAATGTTGATTTACCTTTTCAAAAGTCTTTAATTATGCGGATAAATAATAATATAGAATATTAAATTGTGATAAAAAATAATTAGGCAACTAGGTCAACACAAAATCAAGGCCCGCTTCGATACAAATTAAAAAACCTAATATTTCTCTCATTCTTAGAAATAAATACCCATAACTTTATATTGCTGGAAAGGGTTAAACGCGAGCATTTTTTTAAGTTCATAGTCAACTATGATTTCCATTTAAAAAATTATATTTTTTAATATTTCTGACAAAAAGAGCAAGTATAGAAAAAACTGACTACGCCACTGGATTGTGCTTAAAAAAGTAACTGTGCTTAAAAGCTTAAGAACGTTTTTACAGAATTTTATTATTCCGCGAAATACAAAAGTTATGGGCAATTTTCCAAATGGTAAAAAATTCAAAAAGACCCCGTATCTCAATTGGCAGTGAAAATATCAAAAGGCGGTTAATGCCATTAAACGTGTCTCAGAAATCGAGCCCATGACATCTATGTCGGTTTTGCTCTACCTGGCCAGGAAATAGATTTTCTCTGTTAAAACAGACCAATTTCGACCACCCTGTATATTAAACCACTATTTTTTAAGGTATATTTGGAAATTACACAATAATCCTTCCAAATTATTAAATAAATAAAATAATATAAAATTATTAAATAAATAAAATAATATAAAAAAATCAAATAGCTAATACGCCAAGAGAAAAGTCGAAAAGACACAAGGTTATTCAAAACGATAACAGTGACGTTAGCTTCCGTCATTAATGGACGAATAAAATAATAGAATTTTAGTGACTACTTTTTTGTTTTTTTATTCAGTGATGATAGTAGATAAAAGTTTGCAAAGTACATGACCTTTTTACTTTTTGGCATAAAAAGCAACATCTATTTTTTTATCCGATTCTCTGCATTTAGTAAAAAAACCCGTATTAAAATTTCCAAAAGTACTTCTATTATTCATAATTATATTCCTACTTACTACTTACTTTATGTATCATGGGATGTTCCAAGTATTGCAGAAATCGACAGCTTAGATTGTGAAAGTGGCATTCGCTGTAACCGTACGGTATCGCCGAGCCATTAGTTGTAAAATCTTTGCATAGCGTCGTCATTGTTTCGTCGTTTACAATTGCCAGTTTCAGATCTTTCGGATCGCCACCAACCCCATTTACCACACACCATGTTTGGATTAGTGGAAAAAATAACAAAAATATAATACCGCTAAAAAAGAAATAAAAATATACGTACCTATACAGGGTGAGTCTTAAATAAGTGCAAATATTTTCAGGACTGATATGTCTCGATAAAACAAACATATTTTCTATTTACCGTTTTTCAAATAAGTCTAAATTAAACAAGTTATTAAAGTTTGAAAATTTTAGAAAATTTTTTTTTTAATGTTTAGAGCCCCGGATTTTTTTCTGTATTTGCATCCCATTTAGTGCCGTAACCATTGGAATATCAAAGATTTCAGAATACTCTGTAAATTTTGGTAATATTGTTACGGATTCCGTGGGTCCACTAATTTAAACTCACGATAAAATACTTAACGATTTATTTGTCTCATTCTGTACACACAACTTATACTATTTACAACACAATTTATGCAACTACTATTACTGTAACAGTACTGGCACCTTCGCCAATTAATTCACAATTTAAAACGCGGTATTATCAAACTTTAGACTGCCCTGCCAAAGCGCGGGCCTTTATATACCCCCTGGCGAGTCTTTCTGGAACGTTCTAAAGAATTCTGTAATTTTCTTTTACTTTCTGGCGAATTCGCCAGGTTCAATGCACGTAGCAGTAATGCAGTTATGCAACCAGTAATACACCTTGACCTTGACAATATCAAAGATTAAGTAACCATAAGAAAATTTGCGTTCGATTCACCGCCTATGCAGTTTTAAAAAGTTTTCTAAAATATACAGGAAAATTTAAAAGAAAGTGCACGATTTTCAACATCTCCAAAAACCAACCAAACTTATATTCATATATGATATTTTATGTGGTTCTGGGGTCGAAATATACCACTAAAAATATTTGCACTTATTTAAGACTCACCCTGTATATCCCTAATCAAAATGTCTTTTGCTCGATCAAATATACCCTAGTCTGCCCTAATCATAAAGAAATTTTAGATTTTTTTGTTCATTAAACACTTTACTTTAAAATTAAAACTAAATATATTAGTAAACAGCCGTGTTTCAGAAAACATAGTGTGCGATCTCTCGTGGGAAGATTCCTCGCGTAAAAGTAAGACTTATATCAACATAAGTCCGATCCTGCTTTGTTTTGTAGCTACAGGGAGTTAAAGTCTTCATTTTATTTCGATTTAGAATTCTTGTCTAACACGGGTGCGCCTCGAAAGTGGCCCACCCCTATTTAAAAAGGAGATTTGGTATGTTAACTATATGACATAAATTAGGATTAATTGACGTATTCAATAATTGTTTTCGGTCACTTCCTGTTTCACTGGAAATTACTACAACTTTTGATTTTTAAATGGCACCCTCGGTATTTTGTACTTTGTTCGATAGAAAATGATACTCTGAATACATACTTGACATTTTCAATTAAAAAATAGGATTTTATATTTCAATTTAGACTACTGTGGCCATAAATGTAACGACAATAATTTGACTCGAAATACGAAACCATGTGGTACCAAAGTATTCGTAAAAATGTTTTTTCTAAATATAGTAATGAGCCACCCTCGATCCATTTGAAAAAAATTGAGATATGATTAAAAATACGATTTGGGCATCTTTTAACCGGCCAGGACGAGACAGTAAATCATTAGACGATCAAATCTATTATTCCAAGGCTCCTTGATTAAAGATGAGTGTTTTTTTAACATAGCAATGGTACTCTAGATTGAAATTTAAAATAAAATTTTGTTTTGTGCGAAAATGTCAAAAGTTGACTTATGATACCTATGTCATTCTATACAGAGTGTCATTTTTTATCCAATAAAGTAAAAAAATACCGAGGGCGCCATTTAAAAATCAAAAGTTGTAGTCATTTCCGGTAGTTGCCGAAAACAATTGAATACGTGAATTAATCCTTATTTATGACATATACTACTTTATGTCAATACCAAATATCGTTTTTTTATCTGAAAAAATACAAAAGTTATAGGATAGGTGTGAGCCACTTTTGAGATGCACCCGGTATGTATATACTAAACACCTTGTATTTACTCTAAAATATAAGGTCGATATTTTATATATTACTTTTTTTACTGAACTTACGTGACATTCCTGTAAAATTGCTTCCAGTTTTTATCAAGAAGTGCTTTCATTCTATAGTTTTCTAAACTCGTCTTATCTTTCTTTATTTTTGTTGTCTTTACTTTCTTCGTAAGCTCCTAGAATTTAATCGTAACAGTAAATTATTCACGAGGCATTTAATTTCACATAACCAGCAGAGTAGCTCTGATAAGTGTCATCTCGACCCCCACCAATAATGGGATCTCGAAGAAGAAATTATTAAATATTATAGAATATACGCGGATGGTTAAATTAAGGTGAACTGAAATATTAATATGCCATTAATATGCCGTTTGGAAACATAAAATTCCGAGTAGTTCCGAAGATATTCGAGAAAAAACGATAATTTAAGATTTCGATTTTATTTTTTTCTGACGTTGCTTGATAAAGTATTCCAAAACTAAAAGCACATTTTTATAGTCGAAGTTTTTTCTAGCTACACAACATTGTATTCAGATTTGTTATCCGACGTTTCGTCTTTTTACCAACATCAAAGAAAAAGAACTCTTTCAAATCTATGTTTTCTTATGAGCGCCATATTAGATTTTTACACATCTAAATACATAAATTTATTTCGATTCTAACGATGGTTATCTACAGTGATTGTAAACGTCAATAATTAGTAAAAATCTTGTTTTTAATAGTTGGCTTTGGTTGTTTGAAAGAAAAACGGGACATGTTAGACAAAATATTGTTTGAAAAGCTGGTTAAATGAGGGTACGTTGAAACTATAGAATAGACATAACAGTATCCTTTATTTATATGCTAAAATTATAGTAAGCATTCAAAGTGATGACCCTCTTACTGGATATATAATGGTGCCCATCAATCTAAATTATTGACAGCTGTAGTTAATCCCTTCTTGTAATAGCTCAAAACTGTGTTATAATAAGGTTATAATATTTTTTCTTATTACTTCCCTCTCTACAACTGTTTGATAATCTTGTTGTCAATACACTATTTTCATAAGGTACCCAACAGAAAAATGTGTTTTTAGTTTTGCATGCTACAACCTAATATCGCTGGAACTACCCGAAATTTTAAATATTTCTAAACCAATACACATCCTCGTATCTCCTATAGTTTTCGAGATTCCAATGGTAAGTGTCGAATTTGATTTACCCTGTATGTCAACTAGATAAGGATGAGTAATACATATACAAGTCGAAACGTCGCGTAAAATTTCAACATTATAGACAATGTCAACCCCAGAGGATCTTTTATTTCACAATTCACACCCAGACATCTTTATTTATGACTTACATCTTTTGATCCGTAAGCTATGTCAAAGGTAGCTATAGAAGAGACGGAAGAAGCAGATTCCATACCGTTCCCATTTTGTTTATTGATGTTATCTATGACATTATTTAACCTTCCTTCTTCTTGTTTCCTACTAAGAATAAGAAAAGCTTCCTCCAGGGTTTCGGTTTGAAAGAAACTCAGTAATCTTGCGGGTGATTCTTCTGCTAATAACTTTCCACCTCGCATTAAGCCAATCTAGAATAATAAGTTAATTAAAAAATGTCACGTTAAGATAACTTTATAACATCAGAAGAACCAAACCAAACCAAACCAAACTCAACTACAAAGTTTTAAACAGCCTCTACCGTGCGTACTCGCGAACCTAATACGCATAATTGTAGGTTTCGTCACTAGAACTGCCCCACGGGGGTAATCCTCGCGAGATGAAAGATTTCCAATGACAACTACTGCAGATAATGCCCTAGAGGAAGAAGAAACCATAGACCACCCGCTGTAGCACTGTCCGGCACTGGAAAACCGACACTTTAAAACTTTAGGGCACGTTTTTTTGGAGCGACTAGAGGAAGCAGCAGCAGCCAACATCAGCGACATCAGGAACTTTGCAAAGAGGTGGAAGTCTTTTAACATAAAGAAAAAATGGGAGGAAGGCTTGGTATACATTAATACATGGGTATCGCAATGGGCCCAAGGCCTCCGAGTGAGGGTCCAAACAAGATCCCAAATCCCAGCAACCTCACCTAACACTACTCGCAAAGTAAACCGAAGTAGTGATGTAAACTTTAGTTACTTTTATGGACTTCTAACTACTAGTTACTTTTGTTAATAGGACTCGTTACTTTGGACTCGTTACTTTAGTTACTCGTTACTTTGGTACTTAGTATCGTTACTTTATAATCGTTGTTTTGTGTACAGGTTGGAAGACTTGGGCGTGACGTGGAACTTCGTTACTTATTGTGCCCGGCGATCTTCGTTGCATGCTCGGTTTAACCTATAAGGGGTTTTTACTTTCTTCTAGTGTAAGGGCTTAATAGGATAATTTCAATACTCGGTATTCAAGTACTGAATAATATGTTTTTAATAATATGTATAATATTTTTATAATGATATGTTAAATAAAACTATGTACTATTAATAAAATTAAAAATAAAAGAAAACAAATCAAACACAAAAAATATGTGTATATTAAATATAAAGTATTTTTCTACTCTCTATCTCTCTCTCTCTCTCTCTCACTCTCCCTCTTTGTATTACATTAATAAATAGGCAAACATTAAAGAGTAAAAATAAAATAAATGTATATATTTTTGTTAAAATGTAAAAATATTAAAAAATGTATATTCTTCTGTGGCGGATTCATCTCTTCAAAAAAGTCATTTGGATTAACGCCAGCAGTGTTTACTAAAAATTACTATTTTTATTTTGTAGATTTTCTTACAGTGTAAGTGGCCATTTTATAGTGTAAGGTGGCTCATTTGAAGAAGAAAAATATTTGTTCTGATTTTTCAGATGTTAACATTTTTTGTAACTAACGTGAATCCATTTTTAATTAATATCTAAGACATGTTAATCTAAATAAACAATTCTATTCTATAAATAAAAAACGACAACAAACGGCAAAGGGACAGACCGCCTCCGGGTCGGCATGAGCCATCATAATAATTGTAATAAAAATATCACACATTTGCCATCCAAAACACCGGCCGGCGTCAAGTCAACACTTTAAACATATTGATAACAACTAGACCTACGTCTAAATAAGGAATCAAATACGTTTAAATTAAAATTTTATTTGAACGTATTTGTAAGGAATATTTCAGTATAGAGTTTCGAGTCCTCGGTTCGTGCATTTCCAGGGATTACGATTACTGCCGACGCAAAAGAAACGAATTAGCTTAGTAACGAGTCCTAAATTCAAATAGTAAGCGTTACTCCGAGTCCTCGTAAAGTAACTGTTACTTTGTAACGATTACTTAGAATTTTTACATCACTAAACCGAAGTGACCGGTTTAAACTTGGGCTTTCTTCGCGAGTACTGTAGAGGCTGTTTGAAACTTTATAGTTGAGTTGGCTCAATGCGGATGCCGTTCTTCCGATCTGTGATGAAGTCGAATAGTGAATATTTACTTCGTGTTTCCTCGTCTAATGAAAATAAGCCGAGACGAGACACAGTTAGACGAGGAAACACGAAATAACCCTCTTCATTATTCGACCTTCACCTACTTCGGCTTACTTCACGAGTAGTGTAGAGGAGTATTTATAATTTTTACTTAATTCCAAGCAATGAAATATTTGTTTCACGTTTATCTCCTAAGAATAGATAGTAATACCATATGACAGAAAAAAAACGCATCAAGTTGGATGATATTCCCCATTTAATTTTTATATAAAATGACACAAAGATCTTCATTTTTCAGCCAATTGTGACGCCGGTATTTTTTCGATTGTATGATACCATCAGATACTATCATCATACCACAGAGGAAGTAAAAGCCAAAGTACTTCTCGAAAAAGGGAAGAGTAAAAAAAACAAGAAACAGCCGGGCGCATCTCCACCAAAAGGCAACAGAGGGAGCGAGAACCTCTCACCTCTGCTCCGGCAAGAGAAAAGCCAGGATGGAAAGCCGTCCAACACCGAGAGGCAAGCAGAGACGTATTGCTGGACAAGTGAAAATGACGGTGCTGTCAAAGGATTACCACCGACCCAAAAAACAGCTCTACAAGAGGCGATACCAGATGAAGTAGTAGCGAACGGGTTGCAACACAACGATCCACAAAATGTGGATCAGCTGCGAATTGCGGGATACATTTTCGGGTGTGCCCGCTCCTCATAGATTTTACATCTCCAAAATCGACCAGGACTGGTTGCAGTGAAGGAAGAAAACATGCCTAAGGAGGCGACCATCATGGTCTGTCTGCCGAGGAGCAAAAGTAAAGACGCTACCGTCCTGCTGGGTCTTTATCCAGGCTCAGAACTCCAATATAAAGACATCGAGTTGGCGACTCATCAACTCGAGGGAGGAGGGCCATGGTCAGGTATACACAATAGGAATTGACCTCAAATTCAAGGAGGCAATAGAGAAAGAGAGAGATATCCTCTATTATAAATTCGGGACAATACCGGTATCAGGTCTAACGAGAGACCAAGTTAAAGAGTTGGAGAAAATGGAGACAGATCCTCCAGCCTCCACCTCACGGGCACCTCAACCGGTGGAAAGCTCCTCGAAGTGTGAAGGGCACGGAGGGCGGAATCTCAGCCGTGGAAGGGTGTATACCCTCCTAGGACCCCCCCCCCCCTACAACAGGAAAATCTACATGTATGATGAGTTATAGGACTATATAATGAGTTATAACTCAAGAAAGAGGGATACCATAGATCTTTAAGGTCTCGGTGATTAACCCCTCTTCTCACTCATTCTACATTCTACACGATACCATACCATCGATAAAAAAACACGAATTAAAATGAATTTTTCTTTCAATCAAAAAATCAGTAGTATACCAAAAATTACCATTTACATTCCAGACCAATCATTTACATGCAAATTTAGTCGGTTTAGAATTTTTTTTTCAGAAAACATTTATGTCTGAAATCTTCTGCTCCATTTTCGCCTTTTTGAAATGTTCAGACAACTGAGACACGAGGGGTGACTGAAATTTCAGAATTGTCCAAAAGGGCCTTGATAATTTTGTCTGTGGTATTTTTAATTTCACAAGAAAGTAGCTATGTTCGTGAACCACAAAGTTCTATCTTGACCGATCTAACCAAAATGGGACGCTGTATTTCTCCCAAAGGGTTATGTGATACTATACGATGAAAAAAAAACAGCGTCACAGACTGCTGCAGAATGACAATCGATGATAATTTTGGAAAGGTCAAGCCCTAGATATCATTTACTTGGCCCGTATTCTTCTTTATTTTTTAAAGGCGCTTACACCAGTGAGTCGGTCTTAAGAAGGTTGGATTTAATGTTTATATTGAGTAAAAATGATTTTTGACTAGTGTGAGTAGTTTAAAATTCGAAAAAAAAATTTTTGGAAATAAATTTGTGTGTCTGGAAACTTTTTATCTTTTTTTAATCTTTCTATAATTTTTAGTGTTAATGTTTGATAAATTTTATGTAATTTTTTTCTAAATGATGTCTAGAGATTACCCCCGTACACCAGAAGATTTGGCCTACGGATTTAGTCTGCGGATTTTGCCTGTCCCGTACCAAAACTCTCGTATTATGGACTGGCCTGCCGAGTTAGTCTACCGATTAGATCTTTGGCCGATTAAATATTCTCGTTTGGGACAAAATTCGACGTTTTATAACAGTTTTATATAGATAAATGTTTATCGGTTTATCGGAATAAAAAACTGGCCTTTAGAAAGAAAGAGCATTCCGGCTTTAGCCTTCACTCATTTTTTAAACCAATCTAATCTGACAGATCAAGTGGGCGGATTTGGCCTGTGACATGCTTGGTCCACCACAGGCTTAGTCACACAAACACCAAACACAAAGTTATTATCGGCCAAATCTGGGGAGGGCCGGACTTAACGAAGTTGCCGCCCCAGGCTAAAAAAAATTTGCACGGGAGCCTAAGACCCCAATTTGCAGTCTAGAACTAAAGTCGCCCAGGATTGTGGGCTTCGTCTAGCACAGCTGCGGAGGTAGCCAACAGCAACCCGCCGCAATACCCTTAGCCGAGGTCAAAACAAAATAAAAATTGAAATAGTTAGGGGAATATATAAAAACAGAAGGAAAAATTTCGATAACAGCTACCTAAATTTTAGTTAATCTTGTATAGCCTGATATTTTTTACAGTAACTATTGTATGTTAAACCAAATTGAAATTTGACTCGAAAAGTTATACAGTGAAACCAATATATAAAAACAGAAGGAAAAATTTTAGTCGGCAAGCCCTCAACAAACTCGTAACCGTATACATCATGTACACTGTTGTAGACATTCATACTCACACACAACAACCACACCTACATCAGTGTACACTAGTGTAACTGCCTTGCAGCATCATCAGTACGGTAAGGAATCCGCATTGTTGAGGGCTTGCCGATTAATTTTTTCCTTCTGATAAATATTTATCGGTTTATCGGAATAAAAAACTGGCCTTTAGAAAGAAAGAGCATTCCGTCTTTAGCCTTCATTCATTTTTTAAACCAATCTAATCTGACAGATCAAGTGGGCGGATTTGGTCTGTGACATGCTTGGTCCACCACAGGTTTAGTCACACAAACACCAAATACAAAGTTATTATCCGCAGACCAAATCCGGGCTATTATCATAGGCTATTATATTCCCCAGCCGTCTTTGACGCCGTTTTCTTTCGATCGCACGGTATTATAACTTTGTATACCCAACTTTACTTACTCTATCAGCTTGTTTGGCTTCTTCGATATAGTGTGTAGTAATTATCACTGCAATCTTCTCAGAATGGACTGTTTCCACTAAATAATCCCAAATCCTAAAAAGTAAAAAAATTTCACCAATAAATTAATGGATATAATAAAGATATAGTATCTTTAAAAGTACTTTTCTCTTAAAACTGGATCAACTCCTACCGTCGGTTCATCTAAAATGAGCAGTTCAGGCTTATGAATCATGGCAGCCGCAAAAGAGACTCTTCTTTGTTGTCCACCACTACAATTCTTCAAAAATCTGAAGGATAATGTAATACAGTACAGAGACAAATAATTATCACTATATACGTACCTGCCATCAGGAGGTAGTTCTAGTAGCTTCGATAAGTGTCTAAATCGTTCTTTAATAATTTTATCATTCATCTTCAATAAACGACCAAAATAAAAGACTGCATCTCGAACTGTAAATTCTCCTACTAGGGCAATTTCCTAAAAAAACTTTCGTTACTAAATATTCGTCATTATAGTCTAAGAGTCAGGTGCAAAAAAATGCAAGCGTTTTCTGAAGTCTCATATTTTCAAAAAAAGTACAGTCGGTAGTTCCAGTTCCGGGACACCTGACGCTTAGAAGCGCGCAAAGGTGTAATTTTAATTAACACCTCCGAACTGTTTCCTGAAGGCTAAACATTTCTAGATAACATTCCAATGCAATGTAAAACAAAAATATAATAGTCAGACGGAGCAGTATGGGGACACAAAGCGTCAGCGCTACGGGCTACCTCAAACGTGCTGTCAAAAAAATGTTATCACTCAAAGTGATTTCTGAAGGCTGCCACTTTGCAAGATAATAGTGAAAACAATATATTTATTAATAAAAACAGTCAGACTCGTCGATAACAGAACCCCGTCAGAGCGCTTGCACATACACCGGCAAAATCGGTGCCGGAGTCCTAGTCGGCGCCGGCTTTGCACCCGTTGTATTTAATTTCATTGTATTTATCGGTCCCCGACTATTTTACCGGATCGGAGTATATGTGAAGGAGCTAATTTATTTATATTGCAATCGACTTCAGCTCCGGCACCGGCACCGATTTTGCAGGCGTGTGTGAAAGCGCTCTCAGTCAGCAGCTGATGGAAGTGACAGCGCGCGTATAGGCGGGTCTTTACTCTTTACTCAATATACCCCACTGGCAAGCGAACCTTTAGGTCGGCGCGGCGTTTACATGTATAGGAGTAACTCGTTATGGCAATCTAGTAAGTCGGAGTGAGCAAAAATTCGAAGTATTTATTACATAACTACTTAATCTGACGCTAGATTCCATGCGCTTGGGAAAATACTCGCCTTCTGTTTTTATTCAGTACATCTTATTTTACTAAGCCTGTTGGCCGTACTCTTCGTACACATGAAAACCGGCACCCAAGACCAGAAATGCCGATTCTTAAGCCCCATACTCACACTTCGCTCCTTCGTCCCTTCCTCGCGTTACTTCGTCACTTCACTTCGTTCCTTCGCTTCCTTCCTTCGTCCATTTGATGCTTGCAAATTAGTCGATATGCAACAACACACCACAAAATATTTTTAATATAGCAGCTACATGTTTATTACGAAATATCTAGTAACCTGTAAAATTTTTAAAAAATCCGAAAGGCGTATAATTTTTATTTTATAAAACTGCAATTCTTTGTCGTGTCAAAAATAAAAATTGAATTTTAATAATATTATATTTTTTGAATAAATCTGAATATTTCAGTATCATGTACAAGGTATATCAGTATCATGTACAAGGTATATCAGTATGAATGTACAAGGCGAGTCAACAATAGAGTAAAGTTTATTATATAATTTATATCGAAACTATGAAATATGACATACTAATTAAACGTTGATGGCAATCCCCATTTCTTCAGATATTTTTGTAAAGGCATCATGCACACTATTTCTTTTTTTTTTATTTTTGTCGCTACGATTACATAAATATGGACATGTATTTTTTTCACAAATATGAGGATAATATTGTTTTTTTTTCTTCTATTTTTTAGACTACTGTGTGTGAATTATTTTTATATCGACTGGCGATAGCTAGATGTACAAGATGTCCCATTTTTGTGTGTTTTATGGGGTTTCTGGTTTATGAGTAGAGAGATGAGTAAAGATGCCGTTTTCATATCATTCGTTCTACTTATTATGAAACTAAATATGCTACACACAGATTTATCCTAGCCTACTTTGTTTAAATTTTTCGATAACCTTTGTATCTCGATTATCTTATAACTTATCGAAAAGGTGAAAAGGATCAGTGATGGGCAGTGGGTAAGTACCCAATTTGTAGATAAATAAAATCTGGGTATATACCTACCTGTAGATTTAGATGAACATCCTAATTTTAATTAGCAGTTTCCGTCGACCGCATAGTAAATACCCAGTATAAAACCGGGAATAGAAATATAAAAATATATATAAGAAATATTGTAGATATATACTTGTATTCTTGATATTACTGGTATTATACCGGGTATTTACTATGCGGTCGTTGAAAATACCTTTTATAAAATTAGACTGTTCATCTAAATGTACAGGTATATACCGGATACCCTGATTTTGTTTTGTTCTACCTATTGAGTACTTACCCACCGCCCGTGTCTCGTTTTTCAGGTAGAATGCAGTGACGAAACTAGTTATTCGTTGGGAGCTGCCTATTTCGAAAAATGACTCAAAGTTATGTTCTTTTTTTTAAACAGGACACTCTATATATTATTTTTTATTTTATTTGCCTTGTTATGAGCTTTCTAAAATTATAATATACTCTATATTTATTTATTTAGGTACTGCTAAACTGCTAAACGGCTCTTGTTTTATTTAACTTAATTTTACCAGATAATTTTGCTGTGCATCGTGATATTTTGATAAACTACACGGAAACTGAACTTGTGCTGCTTTTAAATAACATGCCAATAACCAACATTTTACGTCGAATAAATTAGTTGATTATTTTGATTACCTAATTTAAACCGGCCGACTATGTAATAAAGTTAAATAATGCATTTTTACCCCGTTTATGAAAATAAGTATTTTAGAAAGCCCGTAACAAGAAAAATAAAATAATATACAAAATATCGCATTTAAAAAAACATATAAGTTTAAGTCAATTTAAGAAAGACAGATTCCAACGAAGAAATAGTTACGTCACTGCATTCTACGTGAAAAACTGTACGGGAGACCGTTTTCACCTTTTCGATAAGTTATAAGATAACCGAGATACAAAGGGGATCGAAAAATGCAATAATTTCAGATTCGCCCTGTATTTTAGGAAGTAAGAGAGCTAGGACATATCTGTACGTAGCATCTTTATTTTCTTAAAAAAGTAACAGCGTAATGTGAAAACCGCATCTTTGTATCTCGACTCATAAACGAGAAACCCTGCAAAACACACGAAAATGGGACTCCCTGTAGAGACGTACTGCCAAATCAAGAAATCAACTACGAATGAAATCCAAGATCGATTTATATATTTTATATATTTTAATATTTTTTTGTGTTCGTGATAATTCCTTTGCTACTTCGTCCAAAAACCGGGAAGTAAACGGACGAAGGAGCGTTTTGACGAAGGAACGAAGGAACACACAGTCGCATAAAATCGACATTTCCCATAGTAAATATATGATTTTTGGACGAAGGGGCGCGACGAAGGAAGGAAGTGAAGTAGCGAAGTGTGAGTATGGGGCTTTAGTATATCGATATTAATCAATAATTTATTCACACAAAACAGAACATGTAGTTTATAAATGTCGGGGGAAAACGGTCTCAAATAAAAAATACATGTTTTTTGCATAAAGCAGTTTTTACATTAATGATTTGTTTTGTGTGAAATTATCGATGAATATCGATATAAATTGAGTAAAGACCCGCCTATACGCGCGCTGTCACTATTCTCACTTCCTTCAGCTGCTGACTGACGAGGTTCTGTTATCGACGAGTCTGACTGTTTTTATTAATAAATTTATTTTTCACTATTACCTTGCAAAGTTTCAACCTTCAGAAATCACTTTGAGTGACAATAATTTTTGACAGCTCGTTTGAGGTAGCGCTGACCAAAGCGCTGACGCTTTGTGTCCCCATTCTGCTCTGTCTGACTGTTATATTTTTGTTTTACATTGCATTCGAATGTTATCTACAAATTTTTAGCCTTCAGAACACAGTGTGGAGGTGTTAATTAAAATTACATCTTTGCGCGCTCTGTGCGCCATCAGATATTCCGGAACTGGCACTGCTGGCTGTACCTTTGCTTTTTAAAGATGCCATTACACGGCGTGTGGAGCGCCGATCCACCCTACAGGCGCGTTGAGCACCGTGCCAAGTGCGGCGGATGGTAATTCTAGCGGGACAAAACCTCAGGAGCTATGTTTGGGACTTAAAATCTAAGAACGTAGCAAATGATTTAATATATGTATAGCACCCATATGAGTTAAATTTATTTGTTTATTAACAACTTAATTTATCAATAAATAAATAAATAAATACAAGATAATAAAACTATTATATTATTCGTACGTAACACACAAAAACCGTACTATAAACTATTGCTAAATAAATAAAACTATGATATAAGGTAAATACTTAAAAAAATATTTTAGCAGTTATTTTTTAATTATTTTGTGATCTTGTGAAACCCTGTTTTATTTTAAAAAATTATCTTTTATTTAAAAATAAATAAAATAGTTATTTTAATTTTAATTTTAACACTCTGTAATTGTAAATTGATATAGTAAGTATCTAAGTCAATTTTTAAAACTTTTAATAAAACTAGTAATAATCATTTAGTTTTTATTAGAGATTATGAGAAATTAAAAAAGGCTTTTGCATATAGTCATGCTTTATTTAACTAGAACATCATTTGGATGTTTTTGTCTTGAAAAAAAATTGCCGAACTGACTATTGGTGTCATTCATTGATTTTTTAACCTCAGTGTCTTTCGATGGAGTTTCAGTTAAGGTTTCAACGATTACAACAGTATCCCTACTCCTACTAGCCTAGCTTATAGTACTTGCAAAAGCTAATTATTCTTTTCAATGCTCTTCAATTAATCCTTTAATGAGTCTTTGTTTCGTTATTATACTAGCCAATTGAAATAAAACTTTTGGGCGTCCACCTGTTAAGCTTGAACTCTAAAAAAACAAGGGAAAATAATCGTAGATGGGTCTTAACAACTTTTTTTTTCGTTACTAAGAGAGTTGGGATCTAAAAATTGCATCACGATATCCCACAAAACGATCAAGAGAGGATGTTAGTTTTAAAACGCCTTTTTACATACCTTTGGCAATTTCCAACACAATTTAGTTTTGGAATAAAATGTATGCACTTGTAAATATTTTGTTTTCATATGACCTCTACCTGGCTGAGCAGAAAACGATCAAATTTGGTTGATAAAAATGTATACGACCAAAAAATAATTCTTGCATTTTTATATCAGTTGGAATTAACACTATTTATT